ATATAATAAAATAAACATAACTTATTGTAAATGTTCCAAATTTATTGATGGATTTTTAAATTTATTTTTTGTCAGTAACTGAAATAGTTACTGTAAACATCTATTCAAAAAGTGGAAATTAAGTCAGAGCCTCTATTATTGTGCATACGACCTCTATCTTGGTATCAAAATGGAATTCAGTTTCAGTATAAAATTTGTAAAGTGCATAAAATTATATCGTTTTTCACGATTATTACTCCAAGTTTTATCAAGTAAAATTTTAATAAAAAAAATTTTCTTTGAATTGTCAAACTATTTTATTTAAAGCAGCTAGTTAATATTAACAAAACAGAATCAATGTTCACATACCAGTTTAAAAATTTCCTGTTGGTATGTGCTCGAAAATAGTTCGTCAAAATAATTATGTTTCATCATCAGCGACAAAAAACCTTCAAGAGCACCACACTCGATGTCAAACGTGTTTTCCATCTAAAATTAAGCTTTCACCGACAGACAAATACAATATCATGGGAGAAAAACGTGGAATCGCGAGCTAAAAATACAACTTAAAAAAAGAAACATAAAAAAAAACAGTCCGTCACTAATAGTTTGACGTAAGTTATTCGAGAACGAGAGAAGCAAACAAGTAAAGAGACGACAATACAACGCATTCATTAGCTGCAAAATTACGAAAATTACACCTTTGATAGCTGACATGTGCCCTTTCTGTCTGAAAATTAATTTAATCATACTTTCAAGCGAAATACGTCGGATGATATAACCGCTTGTTTTTCCGCAATAGTCCTTTGATAAGAGCCTATTCATAGCAATTCATGTCACATACATAAGACTAAGTAAAGCTTAAAATTTTCTTTTGGAATTTTTCTAGTCCCGAAATATTGTACATTCCATCTTGAAATTTTCTTGCTCAAAATTTTTTTTATAAACTTTATCTTGTCTCGAGATAACCCGTTATCTCGGAAACTTTTTTAAAGATTATTAGGACACCTCGATTTCTTAAAAATATTTCTGGAACACGCGGGATTCATCATCGGTTTAGATATAACTTTCTGATTTTTTTTTAAAGATTAGTACAAATTTGTCTAAATGTCCAGGCCTCAATTGAGAATTTTTAGCTGATTGGCACCACATTCATTTAAATCTGATAAAATGAGAAATAATCCGATAATTTTTTTGAATCATAAATTAAATTTTTATTTCTACTATATTAAATTGGCGTTTCACCAAAGTATGAAAATACAAGTTCTGAAAATAATGATTGTTTAACTTGTTTTGAATAAATTACATAACGAACTTTTTTAATTTTTTTATCAAGTTTTGTCAACCTCATGAGTAAATATTGAAAACATTTACATTTCAATCTGCGTAGTCCGTCCCATAATATATATCAGAAATATTGGACACTTGTGAACGTAACACATTAAATAAACAAAAATTGACAAATTGCTACATAAAAAATAAGGAGTTGACGTAATAAAAATAAGACGTCATACGGACTGAAATGTGCTTGACCTTCGCCACTCTTTGTTGATACACGTAAAGAGAAGTGGCTAATATTTGATGACAACCTATATCCATCCGTTGGAACAAATAGATTTTTTCGTGAAAAATGTCAATTAACCATTTTTTTTATATCCCAGCTATCACAAAAATTTTGAAACTGAAGCCAGTTTTTACCTCATCTCACCATATCTCACCCAAGGCCTACACTACACCTACGAGTACAAAAAACCACACATATGTAAAAAACAGCTGGCTCAGCATCCCACACCCATTGTTTTCTTTTTTTTTCCCCTCTCACCTGTTGGATACGGGACTTCCGGTGCTTTGGTAACATGGGCTCACCAGCCAGTTTGCCGGACTTGCCAGGGGTGTTGATTTCCTTGAGGGACTCGATACTGGGCGATACATTGAGGGCGACGTGGGCTATTTCGCCGGAGACGGATTTTTTCACGCAGCCATTGCTCGAGCGCTGGCCCTTGTCGTTACCCTCCAGTGGGTTAACGTAAAGGTTGTTGCTGTCGGCCTCCTCCGTCAAGTCGCTCTGTGAATTTTCAAGGTTGCATAGAGACACGCGGATTTGACTAACGACCGTGTGAGCGTTTCAAAATGAGGTAAGGGTGAGACTGTTGGTGTTGTTTTGCGGGGGGGATTAGAGGAAGAGGGTCGGAAAGCGCTGATTAGGGTAGTTTATTGGAACGTTTTGGGTGTACAAAGATGTGAAAAGGGAAAGGTAGTTTGCATACGGAATGGCATAAGAGCCCGTGGTCGTGTGGAGTAAATATAATAGAGTAATGCTACAGAGTGGGGTTCGGTGTTGCCGTTTGGAGAGGAGGTGGGGGGCACAGTTTGCGTAAATGCGTCGTTAATATTTATGCCCGGAGTTGGTACGTGCTCGTTTCCATTTCGTTTGAGCTGTTCAATTAGGTTTATTACTTTTCTTTTTTTTTTTTTCAGAAAAAAACCTGTAGATAAGTAGTTCTTTCAGTATACGTGCAGGACTGTAGTTTTACGCGTTTTTTTTTTTTTTTTTCGTTAACGTTTCGCGGAAATAAAGCAGAGTCTAGGGCACGAATGTCGGACTCTTGGAAAAAATTCCGTAAGGTATATTTTTTTGGATTGGCGTGAGACAAATATTTCTTAAAAGTATAAGCAACAACTATACCAACGTGAACCTATACGTCAAAATTTATTTCTTTGTGGTGGTCATTTAACGTATGTAAATATAAGTAAGAACTATATCTTCGTCATCACAAATGTAATTTTTTTTTTCCGCCATCTCCAAAGCAAATCAGTCAGTCAAGATCCCGGCTCGTCAACTTTATTTTAAAAAGTAAAACACAATTTTCTAGCTTTTACCATTTATTTTCAAAGAGTTTATTTTTATTTTTATTTTTGCCGGCGCCATTCGAATCATTTTTATTTCACCGACAATTATTTTCACGTCAAAATAGTAATAATAACGCCCGTTAAAATTTGTCTTCTAAAAATCAACAAAGCCATAAAAAATTATATTCCACAAGTTTTGACACAAATTTGTTGTTTCACTATTAACATGTACAAAAAAAAAAAAAAAAAAAAATTCGATAAAATAGCCATCAAGAAACAAACAATCTCAATGCAACTATCCAATTAATAAACTTGTTCATCCATAATAATTTAACAATGTCCTCATGCAGATGTATTAAAATCTGCAACGATGGCAAAGCCCACAGCACGATAAAAAAAAAAAACTCCACATCATTCAATTTATTTTTCACGCGAGGATAAAAAAAAAGTTGCCGTAATTTTTACCGTGAAACCACGATAGGATATATATATATATATATATATATATATATATATATAATGTATTAAAATAGACATTGCGATTGTACACAGTGACCCAATACGGTATGGATTACCGTGATTTTTTTTCTCTTTATTCACGTACCAATGCCCCGAAGCATCGTCCCACGTAACCCGGACGCATCTACTACAAATAATCCAAGCACGTACATACCTCGGAGTAGAAGGGATGCGTCTGACAACTGGCGTACGTGTCGGAGCTGTCTACGCTGCCCCGTTCGTTGTAACTGCCCTTGTTGTTGGCCGCGGCTTCCGCCGCCTGTCGCTGCTGCTGCAGCTGATGCTGCTGGGCCGCGGCCATGGCTCGCTGGTGCAGCTGCTGCAATTGTTTCTGCTGCTGCTGCTGCTGGTACTGCAAGAGCTGCTGCTGCAGTTGGTGCTGCTGGAACTGCTGGAACTGCTGCTGCATCTCGGCACTGAACAGCGCCGCGGTCGTCTGGTCGACCACGCTGCCCTCGCGCTGGTGGGATCTGCCGAGATCGTGGCAGACGGTGCTCCGAAAGTTCCTTGTTCCCCAGGGGCATGATGTCCTCCGCGTCCCTGTACTCTTTGTACTCCTGCAAGCACGCCGAGGCCGACTTCTTTTTTTTTTTTTTTTTTTTTTTTTTTTTTTTTTCTTTTTCGTTATTGGTCAAGCTACACGATGCTCGGATGATTGGTTCAAGCTGGATTATGGGGGATACGGAATTTTTTTTTTTTTCGCTTGGCGATCGAAGCTGCGAGGTCGAGCAATTAGACGTAGCGAGCGAGCTTTTCTGGAAGTTGTTTTTTTTTTTTTTTTTGACGTTCAGTGTGGACGTGCTGATAACTCGAGTGACAGAATGATCGACTCATCGAGTCATTACAGAGACACGTTGTCCAATCACAAGCTTAGGATTGTTGTTATCGCGCGTTAATGTCAGATGCGTAGCGTTTGGTTTTTGGATAAGTATCAAAACTTGGCGGGTTATAGCTTCGGCTTTTCTTGGCGAACGGAGATATGTTAGTTGAAAACGTTAATGAGCTTTTTTTATTCTCATCACGTTAGTGTATTGAGTTTGTGGTTTTCTTGGATATTGTAAAAAATTATTCTGAGAGGTGTGATGTACGAGCAATTAATTCATGTGCGTGTGTTACATCGGTCAAGTGGAACACTTGGATGAGGATACTTTTCTTTATTTTGATCCAACTTCTTTGTAAAACACTAAATGTTTGTATTTCTCATTAATAGATACCGGTTAATCGTTTCTAATATGAATAGCGAAACATGAATTTTATTTTAAAAAAGTCACTGATAAGTTTTAAATATATTTAATGAAGAGTTTGGAATTTTTTAAATTAATTTTTCATAAAACACTGTTTTTTTATTAATAATAAAAATTAATTGTTGACGTTGATTGTTGAAAATTACGGGCGGTAGTATTTTAAATACATCAGCCTAAATCAATCACGTATGAAATGCACTACATCTCAATTAAAAATTAATTGTGTATCACTTAAAATCTTTTGTCTGTATTAAAATACTCACAAATATTCAAGTCATTTTACACATTAGTTTGCATATGCACATTGTTGTTATATTCGATGTCAAAATATTTTTTTGTTTCCTACGTTTTGAACATTGTGTGTAATATATAATGACTAAAAAGTATACTCTTGTATTACCTAAATAAAACCAAGTAAATAAACAGATTGTCGAAAAATTTCAAATGACAATTTGATGATGCATATAGTATTTTATACGTTACAAAATAGATTTTATTGAAATTTCTATTGACAATGAATTCGTAATAAATAATAATCTTAACAGTAATGCAAGTCAGATGCAATAAATATTAGTATATTAATTACAGTAGTGCAACAACAACAACAATAATGATAATACATTTTTAGTTTGGCGCATATGGTTTAAATACATCGATGCAAAGACCATTACGTCTAAGACCAATACGAAGTATGTGATCGTACATTTATCCGCTGGGTATGGTTAAGGAAAAATGCGTCATTCACAACGTCACTACTCTAAAACATGTAACATGCCTTGAAATGATGCGTAACAACTAAAGGCAAATAAATCAACGAAATGACTAATCGTCTGGTACATCTGTGGTGGACTTACGTTTTTTGCTGATTATTGTGTGAACGTAAATAATAAATCGACAACTAGAAAGAAAAACAAGAAAGAAATAATGTTTCAACAGCCAAAATTATAATATCACGTACAATCATTCCTTGATAAAATGCTAAATATATTTACAAATATATCGCTGACGTTGACTGGCAAAATAGCACAGTTTTCACCAAACATGATAAAAAGAAAAATTGTTCAAGCAAAATAAAAATGAACGAATATAGTGACGATAACATTGACTACAAGTACCAACAATTTAAGTGTTTCTTTTTTTTCAACCCTTATATTTTTTATTAGTGGCTGTTTCGTGACTGCTTCTCCATTCAAAGTTATAGCAGCACATATTTTTTTGTTCATTATCAAAGAAATAATTAAAATCGAATGGAAATATTGACACTGATTGAATGAAAAAATAAGATAATTATCGAAAATTATATGTTGTCGTAAAGAAATACCTTTGTTGTACAAAAGCAACACTCGAATTCGCTCGGATATTCGTCTACTTTCTCGATTTTGTCGATTTCCTGCTTGGTTTTTCTTCTATCTTTTTTGTCCTCTTCCTACAAATGTTATACACATTATGTTTGTAATGATGAGGGTTAAGGTATAGCCATTCGTTTGCTTATGTTATATGACAAAAACGCCTATTTATGTGTTTCATAAATACACATTATTTAACAATGAGTTTTTTTGGTAAAACCCTAAAAAAAAGAACGGAAAACACAAAAATAATGTCTTGGGAATCAAAAAAAATTTTGCTTTGATGATTAAAAGATAGTTTTCATTTTTAATAAAATAAAAAAGCTGCTTGTTTTTTTGTATACTTAACAGCGTTGGATTAATTTTATATCAATTAAGAAATAAATATGTAAAAATAATTAAAGCCAAAGATTAAACGTAAGTGAAAAATAAATGTTAGTAAATAAACGCAAATCAACATTTTAATACAACACTAGTGACCGTGAAAAAAATTAATGCAAACAATATCAATTAAATGCAATATTATACTTTGACCATCGAGCAGATGATCAGGTTTTTCTATTCACGAACAAACAAAAACACACTGTAACTACCAACTTGTTAAAAACATCAACCGCAAAAAAAAAAATTTTCTTAATGATATGACGAGAATATAGCGTTGTTCTTCCGCAAAAATAATAATAATAAATTTCCAAAAACTGTGCTAACAAAAATACGTACATGTACATTTATGTTTTTTCGTTTCCTTCAAAGTCAAGTGCGTTTCTCTAGACTAGCGTGCTTCGCCTCTTCTTTACGCATAGTACGCTAATGATTCACAGTTTCCGCGTTGAGAGTATCAAAATCATAGAGTAAAAAAGAAAAGACACGTACAGTTGACTCGCGTTAGTTCGAAAGAAAAAAAAATCCACAGACATGGTCAGGCCCCACAGCTCCCAGCTCCTCCTTTCTTCGCGAATCAAACAAGGAAAAAGGCGTTCTTTTTTTTTTCCTTGAAATAAAATAAAATAAAATGTGTAGGCACGGAAGATGTTGTTTTTTTAACGACGCGAGCAAACGAGGATGGGAAAATGCTGTGCCGCAACACGAAGTTTTCTCGATGGCGAGCCGCAGTGCAGACTCCCTTAGTCGTCGGACCCTTTATGTACACTCGCGGGTGTAGGAAAAGAGAAAAATCCCCGTCTGCGGATAAAAGGGTGGGGAAAATTTTCCTCTCGGGGTGGCGGTAAATGAGTAGGCGTAAATTTTTATTTTCAAACCAGTTCTCGTTTTATTTACTTAAAAAGAGCCAACGTGTTTTACACTTTGTTTTTGCATCATATAATGTGCATTTTTACCCTAATATCGCTGACACTGCGTGCGGTGGTACGTTTAATTCGCTTTATCTACCAGAGAAATGGTTTTTCTCTTTTTTTTTTGTTACATATTTCATCAACGCTTTATTGCTAATTGAATTATAAACTAATAACACATCATCTCTGTTGCTGGTGTTTGCTTATACGATAACACACTCGTCTATGCAAGCGTTTGTTTGTGCAATTGTTCTGTGTATAATTTATAATTGTATTTTGTCAGTATAACGTGTACAACATCTGTAAAAGGCCGGATCGAATTAACAACAATATTATTTCGACACATTTATCTCGCATAATCTACGAAACGCGTCTAAGCACTTTTTTTTTTTTATATATCATATTTTTGATTTCGAAAAATAAATATACGATCTAAACATTTGTACAAAGCACTCGATCGCTGCACGATTTCGTTGTTGAAGGAAAAATAAAACACGGGCACACACACAATCGACATTTTATAAATATAATATAGAACGGANTAAATCGGACGAGCGTGCGGTTGGAATATATATATATATCTGTTACGGTGAGTTAACACTATCGGACGGAAAAAAGCGCTCGGTCGGCCGCTCCAATTATACTTTTTCGTCCGGATCATCAAACACACTCTGACACGTGGTGCGTGAGCGCGTAGTGGGCGGGAGAAGGAAAAAAAACAAAAAAAAAAAAAACGAGAGAAACAAGCGTCGAAGGTTAATTGATTTTCCCTCGTGGCTCAGGTGCGTTGTTATTTCCGATGACAAACGTCGCGCGGTGGTGCTTCAGCGGATTTTTGAAAGGTTGAACGTGTGCTTGTTTCTTTTTTTTTTTTTTTTTTTTTTTTTTCTTTTTTCTTTTTTTTGTCTCCACAATTGGTCGTCGCAAAAGAGTTAGGGCGAAACAGGGCTCTTGTGTTTTGAAGGTTGTGCAAGCTCGCAATGACGCAAACTGCGAACGCGAGTGTCTACTTCTACTAATATATTTTATATCGTAAATATATGGATTGGCAAATTGCGAACACGTGATTTACAGAGACGGGCTTGACAAATTGAGAGACTCGATTTTTTTTATTTTTCTACTCGTGTGCAAACTCGGTTAAAGGGCTCCCAGGTTGTTGCGTAAAGTATAACAAGCGAATAAATAATATAAATGTACGCTTTTGGTATATCGATTGCGGGATTACTTAATTCATCCGATTTCGAAATGCACCACTGAGATATTCATAGTGCATTTATGTGCTAATAAATATTAAAAGCTACGAGTTGTACGCACGAGATTATCCATAAAAATTTACTTCCCTGCGTTTTTCATTTCCACGAGAGGATTTTTAGAAATGAATTTCCAGTGCACGTAAAATTAGTTTCCAGTCTCTTTTTAAAAAGCGAAATAGATGAACAACCGGTTCCGATACTTTGAAATGAATAACTCGACGTCCAAGCGAATAAAAACATAAATCGTATAAACGCTTATACACGCGAACATCTCGTACGTAGTATCACTTTGGTGCTAATCCTCGTGGACCTACAACAAACGCCTTACACTAGCAAACACAATAAAACATACACACATGTAGAGCTTAAGTGCGATCAGAGCACGAGGAATGTGTGGGTGAGCTTCGCAGCGGAGCCGCTGAACTTCCCTTCCAAGGGGTCCATAAAGACGACGGATAAAGCACGAATGTATATAAAGAGACGGAGCCAAAGGCACGACGCTTTTGTATTTTTCAGAACTAAGTACAGGGGCTCGGCAAGTTTAACACGCAAAAGAGCCCGGGGGCTGCACGACACATCGCGATTTCTCTTCTTTCTTCTTTCCTCGGTCCATCAGCCGCCGGCGCTCGGGGGACGCTCTGCTGCGTTGTTTCTAGAGGTCATCGTCGTCGAGTATGGATTTCCGGCCCTGCAAGGTATAAGAGTTCGAGCTGAAATTCTGGTTCGGGGGGCGAGTGCGAGGCACCAGGAGCGCCCTGTACAGCCAACCGGGTGTTTTTGACCATCGCGGAGTTGAACGATAGATTCGTTGAAAAACTGGTCAACGAATTGTGAACTCGTACAGTTTTAGGGGACAAACCCTGCTCAATGATTCGTTCAACAGTAATTCTCACACCCCCTCACGTATCGACAAATAGATTCAAAAAATAGCTTTCCCGAGACCCCTTAGATTCGAGTGATACCGGACAATGGTGTAATTATCGTATTTTATCCGCCCAAACTGTACTTTGCTCCCGGTGCCTCGGTCGCGAACGCAACTTCTCTTGCATTTCCTTCCGATCTTATCCCCCCCTCGTATGCGCCCATACGTGCACACATGGTGCTCTCGCTTTTGTTTGGTGTACAATGTGCAGTACTGTACAAGCGGGTGTCTACGCTTCGATCACTGCTGAGCTCTACTGAGGTGCGAGACAAGCACTTGGGCGCAGGTGTGCTCCGTGTGGCGGTAATAATCATAGGACTCGCTTGTTTTTTTTTTTTCTCATTTTACGTAAATTGTGCTCGTGTAATCGTTGCGAGAATTCGAAGCTGTAAAGGTGCGCGTGTATTGAAAGAGATTAATATCTAAGAAAATAGCTGTATTGGGAGCCCATAGTTATTTAATCACGCGTCAACTGTTCCATGAAAAACACACTTTCAGTTGTTATAGAAAGGATTTTTCATTACTCGTTAAATTTAAGTGAGTTATTTCTAATATTTAGGTTCTCATCGCTTTTATAATTGAAAATTTGATAATTAGAAATTGCAAGCGTCGTATTGGATGGGCTCACAATGACTGATTTATTGTTCATAGTCAAAATTTTCTCAAGTATACACAAACCAACAACGTATGTGAAAATAATTCACTCTACATTTGACCTTTACCGCCAGTGACTCTCACAACGAGAATACTTAGAGACAAAGCAATTGCGTTACTTTTGTCTACCGCGAAGATGACACTTTTTTGTCTCGTTTTTTTTGTGTCTTGTCCGCTTCGGAGTGAATATACCATCGCAATGTGTAATGCGTGAATTGGCTTTTGGTGTATTTTTTGTGCGCAAATAAAAAAGAGAGGCAGCTAAAGAAAAAAGCAAGGGAGTTTATGAATTAGCTTCTCTCTCGTGGCAGGTTGGACCCCCCTATTTTTTTCAAGAGGACTATTTTTTGGCACAAGGCATTCTTCGGGGGTGAGAAGGATGGACTTGGAGACTGATAAAAAAGAAAAAAAAAAAAAAAAAGTAAATTGGGAGTCAAGGCGTCATTCGAGAGCCCGAAAATCGCAGAGAAAGAGGTAATAAACAGCAGATATATAGAGAACATTACGAGAGTGCAAGAGAGAAAAAGAGAGGCGTGAGCGTTGCATTGGTGTTGCTGTGTAAATTTTGTTTTTATTTTTGTTTCACTATGCTGGCACGTGCGCTCCTCATTATCAATCGTTATAGGCGAGGTGTGTTATTGCTTGGCTACAGTAGCTAATTGTTTTTTTTTTTTTTTTTTTTTTTCGCTAAAGCGCAAATGCAAACGCAGAAAATACCCACCACCCTCTATCGGTAACAATACAGCCGCAACTCAAAGCTCGTTAGTTTGCACGTGCTTTTTTCTAAGCTTATGCACTTGAAGCAATTTTTTTTTTTTTTCGATCATCTATAAATATAATCATCTTCTGTGGCACTTGAGGATCTTGCGAAAATTTTTTATTTTTTTATTTCAACCCTCAATCTCATTAGCTACGACTATTCCAATGTTTTTGCTTGCGAATATAACTATCCCTCGTAT